AACACACACACACACACACACACACACACACACACACACACACACACACACAACCTGGGTTTTATAAGTATAACTCGATATGAGTTGTCCCCCCTTTCATTCTGGCGACAGAATCGTATTTTATCGTGTTTTCAAATTGATTTCGTGCAAAAACAATTGTGTTTTTCCAATTTTTGGCACTGTCAGAACCACCGCAAGTTAATTTTACGCAGTCCTGTGAAGTTTTGTTGAAATTGGTTGAGAAATGTAGGAAATCCGATCCAATATATAAACGTACAGACACACACACACACACACACACACACGCACACACACACACACGCATACACAATCTGCGTTTTATAATAAGTATAACTCGATATGAGTTGTCTCCCTTTCATTCTGGCGACAGAATCGTATTTTATCGTGTTTTCAAATTGATTTCGTGCAAAAACAATTGTGTTTTTCCAATTTTTGGCGCTGTCAGAACCACCGCAAGTTAATTTTACGCAGTCGTGTGAAGTTTTGTTGAAATTGGTTGAGAAATGTAGGAAATCCGATCCAATATATAAACGTACAGACACACACACACACACACACACACACACACACACACACACACACACACGCGCACACACACACACGCACGCACACACAATCTGCGTTTTATAATAAGTAAGATTAAATTTGTTTGAAGAATTCTATCTTATTGCACACTGTATAATAGTAATTATTACCTTTTAGATTAGAATCCATATAATTCTTATAAGATACTATCGTTAGCTATATATACCAAGCTTATTTAAACTATTTATATACGGACAATTGTCCCCATCTTTGTTGTTATCGCAACGCTTGGGCCGTTATGAGCTCCGGCCTTCCCCTGGAGTATATCGATCTGGGTAACCTACACGGAATACTGAACTGAATCCTTTATTTAATCTACGGAGCAAGTCTGTTCCCATTCCCCTACTCGTGTCTAGGGATATCTCATCTTACATTCTTTTTAACACTGCTCTGTTTTTCATAGAGCCTGGTTATGTACTATCCAGCCCCAAATCCACAAGGCCATTGTCCTATGAAACAATGTGCGTGTATGTGTGCGTGCGTGTGCGCGTGCATGTGTATGTGTGTGTGTGTGCGTGTGTGTGTGTAAGGGCTTATCCAGTACAAAAAGCTACTCCTGAATGCATGACACAAGGCAAATCTTATTCCATCTGCTCTTTTTTGCTACCTTCCACCTCTCTAGCGTTCTTATGACTGATTCTATTGAAGTTCAAATCTGTATAGTCAAATGTTGAATCCTCCCGATTGATTCCTACGTGGCCAAATACCTTCTTTTATCAAAGCAGTTAATTAAACATATACTTAAATTTACTTGACCTGATACCACTTTGTTTTCGTATGACACCAAGCCATAACGGAATATAAACAAAAAATAAAATATAATGTGACAAGCCCTAAAGATCCGCTCCCTCAGGCCGTACATCTCCTTAGCTTAGGGTAAGTCTTTTAATGTTCACAAAATGCGAAATACTGAAAGAGCTGGAGCAATGTTCACCATTGGTTCTATATAGGCTTGAGACTCACATTTTAAACCTTGACTTTGTGCCATTCGCGTGGACCTACTTTTTGATATTTACATCTTTATTGTTATATTCCCGACGTTTCGGTCATTCTACGCTCCGGCCTTCTTTAGGTGATATACGTTGGAATTTCGAACTGAACCCTTTATTTAGTCAACGATGGTAGACTATTCTAGTTCCGCGTATCATGCCTTTTCTGGATGTCTCAGTTTCAGTTAATTCCTTTTAATAACTCAAATCTGAAAGTTTATGTTCACCTCGGCTGTGTTCAGGTATTGAACCCACAACTCTTTGGGTCAAGTCAATTTTGTATTACTGTAACCAACGCTTTTATCCACTGGGCCATGTGTCCTTTGGAACTACTTTGGGCTTTCATCATGTAATTTACATCAGTATTTTCCGATGTTTATTACTGAAGGTGAAGTTATAAGATTTATTGGATTGTCTATTTCTGCTGAGAATCAAGCAATCTGCCTTCTTATGATTAATAGTTAGTCCTTTCTTTTTGCTTTCCTCTTCTAAACCTACATTTTAAATACCGTTTGATACTTTCAATCCTGCTTTTGAGATTTTTCGAAATAAATAGAAAATAAGACGAATATTAGTTTGGAATCCAGTCTACAGCAGAAAGAAATGGCAACCTACTATTCTTCCTAGACTGTCAGAAGAAGACATGATCACCCAGGCGTGCATCACGAATAGCGCTTAAATGACTAACTGAAATTAATAATATCCTGACGATCAGTTATGTGCCGTGCGGGATACATGCTTAGGTGATCATGTATCTTTCGATACATGACTGACGAGGCATATATTTTCCAACAGTAGGTTGCTATTTCTTTCTGCGGTAAATCAGTTGCCATCCAAGGCTATCCTGCTATTTACCCATAGCTGAGGGAGAAGAATAACAAGATTCGTGCCTTTTCCAAGGGTAT